GGAAGGAGGGTAGGAAGGGGAAGGTATGGGCATGCTCCCTGGAGGGAGAGTGCCCCATGGGGGATCTTTTTTTCTTTAGAGAATATGGGTTAATGGAAAGACAGATGGCCAGGGATTCAGTAGACCTGAATTATGGTCCTAGTTTTGCCATTAACATAATGTGTTAACCTCTCTGGGCCTCATTTCCTCGTGTAAAATGAAGGTATTGGTCTAGCTAGGGGTCAACAAATTTTCCCTGTAAATGGCAAAATAGGAAATATTTTAAGCTTTGTGAGCCAGTCTCTATTGAAACTAGTACACTCTGACTTGTAGTGAAAAAGCAGCCATAAACAATTCATAAACAAATGAACATGGGTGTGTTTCAAATAAAACTTTTAAAAATTGTATTGATTTCAGAGAGGAAGGGAGAGGGAGAAAGGGATAGAAACATCACAATCCTGTCAATGAAGTCACAATCCTGTCTATGAAGTAACAATACTGTCTATGACGTCACAATCCTGTCTATGAAATAACAATCCTGTCTATGATATAACAATCCTGTCTATGAAATAACAATCCGCCCTGATGTAACAATCCTATCTATGAATTAACAATCCTGTCTATGAAGTAACAAACCTGACTACGAAGTAACAATCCTGTCTGTGAAGTAACAATCCAGTCTATGAGTTTATGTACAATTCTCTCTAGGAAGTCACAATACTATCGATGATGTAACAATCCTGTCTATGAAATAACAATCCTGTCTATGAAGTCACAATCCTGTCTATGAAATAACAATCCTGTCTATGAAGTAACAAACCTGTCTATGAAGTAACATCAATGATGAGACTCACTGACCAGCTGCCTCTTGCACGCCCCCTACTGGGGATTGAGCCCACAACCTGGGCATGGATTCCTTGACTGGAATCCAACCCGGTACCCTTCAGTCCGCAGGCTGACACTCTCTCCACTGAGCCAAACCGGCTAGGGCTCAAATAAAACTTTATTTACAAAACCAGGAAGAGTGCCAGATTTGGCTCATGAGCAGTGGTCTGCCAACTCCCATCACTTATGAATTATAAGCCACTTGAAAGACTTAACCAAATTAAGAGTTTTATATTTCTCATCTAATGTAGAGTTCAGAACTGGTATCACAGCTCCACAGCTACCATCTGAGACCCATCCTCTTTCTACCTTTCTGCTCCAGCAACCATAGCATACAGTTCCCATCCCTCAGAGTGGAAAAACAGCCAATATAGCTCCAGCCACTATATCCATGTTTCAGGCACAATAAAAAACCAAATGGAAGGAAAGGACAAAGGTGTCATGCTAGTTATTTCACCTCCTTTTAATGAGCAACGATTTCACCTTGCATTTCAGTGGCCAATTTGATCATAAACACTTCCCTTGCAAGGGAAGCAGGAAATGTAGCTTTTTAGCTGGCTGCATTGCTACCCTGAAAAGTAATGAAGACTTTTTTAGTAAAGAAAGGAGATAGTGGGTAGGCAACTAGATGTCTCTACTACACATCTAGATTCTAAAATTAAATTCAGATCTATGTCTTTGATTCCTTTCTGTCACTTGCCAAATAGCAATAGTATATATTAGTCAAGGTGTATTGGGTGATGTGAACCTTTTCAAAATAAACTTTATTAAAGTTCTTTTACAAAGAATGCAAACTCTGAATGTTCATACCACTTGATGAATTTTCAGAGTGAAAATATCCATGTAACCAGCACAATGTTCTGAGGTCTTTTAACCGTTTGGCTGCTGACGTATTTTTTCGGACATATGCCAAAACTGCGGCACTAATTGCGTGTGTATGGGAAAAAATGTAAAACACTTTTTATACAATAAACTCACTTGTATTGCTTTGCAACAACAAAAATTAAAAAATACCAATTGTTTACATAAATTTGTTTTAAATAAGAAGAGTGCGATAGCGCTCCTTAGCAGTCAAACGGTTAATGGAATTACCATGAAATAGGGAAATATAGCCAAATTCCATCCCAAGGAACTGTGTTCTTTAGCTATGGTCCTAGAAATTAGGGGTCTCGGCCTAACGGGTTTGGCTCAGTGGATAGAACGTCGGCCTGCGGACTGAAGGGTCTCAGGTTTGATTCCAGTCAAGGGCATGTATCTTGGTTGCGGGCACATCCCCAGTAGGGGGTGTGCAGGAGGCAGCTGATTGATGTTTCTCTCTATCCCTATCTCTTCCTCTCTGTAAAAACCCCAATATATTTTTTTAAAAAGAGAGAAAAAAGAAATTAGGGGTCTCCACATAGGTTTATCAGATATGACGTGTCCCCTTCCTCCCTCCTTTACAGCTAAAACTGAAAGATGAAAGACTGATTGCAGAGATCCACATGTTACAGGAGACTGTTGGCTTTGGAAACCCATCTTTCTGACTCCGTCCAGCTGAAGAATGTTCTGTATGGGACTGTGAGCTTTCCTTCCCAGAGAAATTAAATCCTGGATGCTTTACTGTATGAGACCTGGGAATAAAGACAAGAGACTCTCTGCCACAAATAGAAACCCATTCATTTATTTCCACTGCTATCTTACTGGGTTATCAAATGCTACTGGTTGGTCTTGTTGACAGTCAACTGGATGACAATAAAAAATGAAAATAAGAGATTCAAAATTCATCAGTGTGATTCTGGATTTAAGGCATACTGGAGTATATATAAGAATATAATTATATGTAATTAAGGCATAATGGGTTCATTATGAGGGTTTCTGATGAAAGCTAATCAGGATAACTCTTGTAGGAAGTCAACTGCTAAGGTCCCTGGCCAGGTGTACCTAATGGAACTTGGGAATGAAGGCACCCGTTTCTAAGGTGGAACTAAAGGGAGAAAGCTAATCGGGTCGCTGTATTAGGGCAAGATTTAGTTGTGGGCAGGGCCTTTGGATCCAACGGTGAAGAGACTCTAAATAGGGAGGTCTTTGCTGAAGGCGGAGGTGCTCACTCCCTCTAACCACCTTCTCACAGATGCAAACCTCGCAAAGGAGGTAATTATTCTCGGGCTAAAGAGGACCAAGGAAGCACACTGCGCCCGTTCTGGACCACTCACTGCACAGCAAAACCAGGAAAAAGGCCTCCCTCCTTTATTTTTTGGAGAAGGTTCAGAGAATAGGAGGGAAGGTGAGAGGCATATCAGTAAACACAGAAGGGTAAACTGTGCGCTCATGCAGAGTCCCTTTCTAGTCCGGTGTCACCCACCGTGCCCCACCAGGCTGGGACTGCAGCGCCCTTTCATCTCCGCGTTTCCGGGCTGCGCCTGGGCGCGAGCAGGTGCCCC